CACACCAGTCTATGTGCCGTGTAATTCCACTCGCCTTCTGGCAGAGGGTGAAGAAACTTCTCTTAAACATTCAGTGTGAATTAGAAGTAAACAGGTTCTTTGCACAAGGAGAAATTATGCTGGGGACCGGGTGTGATGGAGGAGCCCTCCTGTATGTTCCCGGGGCAGCCACGGGACACTGGTCCTCCGGACATTGGTCCCCCGGCCTCGCCAATCAGCCACAGCCAGTGGGATCACAGCCTGTGCGAGGCTCGTGGTGGGATGCCCTCTGGTACATATCTGAGGTCCCCCCACAGCCAGGCTGCAATGCCTACCCCTTGGGGCCAAAGACAGCTGCAGGACCACCTTGTGGGGGTGCCTTGGGCAGCCAGGGCCCTGGACTAAACTTGAAGCTGGGGCAGTTTCTCTGGCACACTTGCAGCCTCTCCCCCATGGGCCCAGGTTTCTGCAGGATGCAGAGACAAAGGCTTGCTTTGTGGCGCCCGGCATCCAGGGGGCTCACAGCCAGAAATGGAAACGTGCGGCTTTTCCATCAAGTGTAACCTCTCCCCCTTCAACCGGCCACCAGACTCCTTCAAATCTGGGTAGGTGGGAGGAGCTGTAAAACCCCAGCCATTAAATCGTTTATTAGTTGCAGGTTTCTGAGCGTGTAGGCAAGTATTTTGAGGCTGCAAGACTCATACGGTGCCCTCCACCATGGGGCCTGGGGGGTTTAACCCCGGTTACTGCTGAAAAGGGGGGCAGGACCCCCCACCCCCAATTATGAGAAGTGGCCTTGCAAGCAGTTTTGGATTCATCCACTTGCTTTTCTCCAACTCTCAGTCTAAAAGAGAGGAAAAATACACAGAAACAAGCCTCTTCAAGCTCAAAGTGTCTTTCAAGCTGGTGCTTATCTTTTTAAAGGGGTAGTCTACCCACACCCTCTGTCCCACCCCCGCCCCAAAGCCTGGTTTGAAACAAGCGGAGCCTCTTTAAGATCCCAAACTAGAGAATGGGAAGGAGAAGGGAGGGAAGGAGGGAGGCTGGTTTTCCTGGAACCCTTATTAAATCAACTTTCCAAGGACAGCCAGGAACTCCAGGCCCTCCCCACTCCCCGAGGAGCATTTGCAGACTGGGGGAGGGGCTCCCGAGACACACACACACACACACACACACACACACACACTCACAGCAAAACTTTCGAAAGGGGAAAAGCTCTGTCAGTGTGACAGAGGTTTTGGGTGGTTGGCTTTAAACTTTTGGGCAAACCTTTTACACCCAAATTGTAGCCTTTTCTGGAGGACAACAGCAGCATTGTTATTTAATAATTAGGGAATACTTTACATTTATGAGATACGTTATAGTTTACAAAGGATGGAGACAGACTTTCCCTTAGGATGGATTTCACAGCAGTTCTCTGAAGATGGTGGGGCCTGAGTTCTGCTCTCACAGAGCTCAGAAGGAATCATCAATGTGAAGAGGCCAAACCACCAGAGGGGCTGACAACCAAACAGGGACCTGGGACTCGATCTCCAAGTCTGGTGGATTTCCACCTCTGCATCCTAAGACATTCTGGGTCTATCCAGGAAACAAGCTCCTCACTAGAGCATCCCCTGTGGGCAAAGGGACCCACAGGACTCCCACTTACGGCTCATTGACTGTGTCATTTGCACCTGATATTTGCAATGACCTTAGGAGAGATTATCATGACCAGTACATTTGATGGAGGCGCAGAGAGAACTTTTCCACCAAGAGCCAACAGTCAGTAAGAAATGGGCCCAAAATTAAAACCACGGCAGTGTAGGGAAGACTCACACCCACAGATATGTACTCGAATGTTCACAGGAGTTTTCGTAATAAAGGCCTGAAGTGTTAACAACCCAAAGGGCCACCAACAGGTGAATGGAGACACGTTCACCATGTAATTCCATTCTGGGAAATTCTAGAATAGGCAGAACTAACCAACAGTGGTGGGAAGTAGATTGGTGATAGCCTGAGTCCAGTGCGGGAAAGGGCGCGAGGGAGGTTTTGGGGGTGATGGATGGAAATCTTCCATATTTTGATTGGGGTGGTACTTACGTGGGATGTTACATTGATCAAAACACATCGAACTGTACACTGAAAACTGGTGCACTTTGTAGAATGTAAATGCTACCTCAATTAAGTTGAGCTTTTAAAAATAGTAGTCTAACTTCACTCTTCATTGCCACGGAGCCTAATAGCCCCTCCACCTCTCCGGCCCAGTCCCACCCCTTCCTGGAACCTGTACTTTGTTCTCAGCAAGACCTCCAGCCCCCTGGCTCCACCCTCCATCACTGCCTCGGCTCCCTTCCCTGTCCCGATGCACAACCAGGCGCTTCAGTGTCCATCTCCTCCCCCAACTCCTTACGCTTGGACCCTTGGACACCCCCTTCCTGCTTACAGATGCGCCAGTCCAATACCTACTATTCCCTTTCTCCATCCTCCATTCTCAGGCTGCAAAAGGGATTGTTAGAGAAAGTTTAAAAAAAAATGCTTTAGGGTCCACCATAAATTCATATTCTCAAACGTCATCCAGGCGCTCCGTGCTTTTGGATTCATCACCGTCTTACGCTGTGGCTGACCCAAAGCTTCTGCATCCAGTCCGCACAAGCCTCCCAGCCGAACTCACTCCCCTCTGCTCTCATCAGTCCCCCAGAGATGACATCCAACCTACTCAACCCCACAGATTCCACTTCTACGGTGTCTCTGCCATTTTTCCTTCCTTTACATCCTTTACCAGAGTCCCTACCCTTTCTTTCTCAAGCTAGACATTCAAAACAACCAGTTAACTGACACGTCAGTCTAGCAACAGTGGTAGAGGCAGTAATAACTACTAACATTTCCCCTGTAAGTGCTTTATCTGGATTATCTCATTTAATCTGGTCCCTGTTTTAAAGATAAGCAAACTAAGGCTTAGTGTGTTTGAGTCATTTGTCAAAGCAAGTCCCGAGCATGATTCACCCATAGGTCCATCTGACTTCCTCATCCCATCC